ATGAAGATTGATCTTTGGGAGGGGGGGGAGATCCACCTTAGGTTCCCCTCCAAAGACCACTCCCCCAGTCTAGCAACCACCCACCTAGACCCCTGCTATCAGCCTTGCGAGGTAGTCCAGACAAAAGGCACCCCCTGTTGGACTAACCCAATTGAGGTGTTCTCCGGGTTCCGTTCTATACTGTTTCTTTATCCTACAAGATAACATGATTAACACATTGGTGATATTATATGCCGGCAATTGAAGCTCCAGCAGCTTTCCAAGCGGCCTGGCTCGGCTGCCATGCTGGAAAATCAGAGGAGGGGTCTCCAACCGTGGCAACTTTAAGCCTGGAGGACTGGCTGGGGAATTCTGGGAGTTGAAGTCCTCCAGGCTTAAAGTTGCCACGGTTGGAGACCCCTGTATCAGAGGGTCTCTCTTGGTCCCGTTTGAAATGAGGGGGGGACCTCCCAATGATCCCCTGGCTAGACTGGCCGGCTGCACACAATAGCAGGAAGGGTGGGAGCCCCTCTGCATTCAGCTGGCGTTCCTTTTGCGCAGAAAACCGCCAGGGGCCTTCGCTCTCAAAGAAAAGGGGGATTAGAGCAGCGCCATTTTCTCCTCGTCCCAGAGGAAATCAGAAGAAAGCGCCACGCTAATTAGTAGTGACAGGAGGCCTAAGAGACGTAGAATGACTTTTGCAAACACGTAAGGATTATGATTGCCAATTAATTAGGAAAATTACAGTGTTCCTCCTCCACCTCAAAGCTGGCAGGCCCAACGAGAGGCAACGTCAAAGCACTTGGGGCAGCTCCTTTCCCCCTGGGGAAAATGAATTCAGCCCTGGCAGCAACTTGCGGGAAGCCAGGATAACGTCCCTGCCCTGGAAGGTGGCTCTGATCCGTGGCTGGGCCAGAGACGCTGAATAAACGGGGCTTCGTGCAGGAAACCCACACGGAGGGTTTGCTGAACACAAAAAGGGCCGGAGCAGATCCAGGAAGAATGCAGATTGCCCCAAAGGCTCAGGGAAGGCAAGGTCACACAGACAGAAATAGGTTCCCAAAATCCATGCATTTACTACAATTCCATTTTGGCTGAAGAACTTGACCAGGGGTCCTCAAACTTGGCAACTTTTAAGACTTGTGAACTTCAACTCCCAGAATTCTCCAGCCAGTTCTGGGAGTTGAAGTCCACAAATCTTAAAAGTTGCCATCCCTTGGCCCTCAAAGGGCAGTGGGGGGTCAGCAGGGGCCGTTTCCTGAGGGCCCGAGCCTGAGCAACAGCTTCAAGATGGTTTGGGGGCAATTTATCCTTCATCTGCGGGGAGGCATTTGGAGCTGCAGGACACCCAGCAGGTGCCAGGTGAGGCGATGCAGCTCCCTTTGGTCGTTGGATTCTTTCCTCCATACTTTATACCTGAAATGTGTTTAGTTAAAAGCCCAGGTGTTTTATTACGCAGGCTTTTTTAGTACCTGTCTGCTCAAAGAGCTCAAGGCCCCCCCCCCTCCTCCCCACTACAACAGCCCAGCCAGGTAGACTGGCAGCTGGGCGCCATGCAACCCCCTTCCCCAGCCGTACTGCTTTGTCCGGTGTATGGAGGGGGCTGCTCAGTCAGCTCCCGTGTTTCTTGGCCGCGGCTGGAGTGGGATGAGCGGCCAGCATCCTTCTTGCCCCGTTGCCAGACTCCTTTCGGGGCTTCTGCTCAAGGCAGGTTTCCAAGGGGTTAATCCCTCTGGGGTTGGTGGGATGACACGGTGGACAATGAAACCTCCCAGGTTGGCAGGATTCTCTCCCTGCAGCTGGACCCTGGCACGGCAGGGACAGAGGCTCTGATGGAACCGTGGCTGAGAACGTCCCAGGGATCCTTAGGCAGGTTCAGCAAATGGGAACCGTGCCCAGGTCAGGGTTGCCCCTTGGAGCCCACAGGTGGCCCCTTGGTTCTCTCCTGCAGCCGAACATGGGAACGGGTGGAGAATTAGGGAGACAGGCTGCAAATACCGCAGCCTTCAGCCCTGGTGCTCCTCTGCGGTCCCCATGCCCAGCAAGGCCCCCCCAGCCCTGGGCTCCTGGGGAAGCTGGACCGGAAGAGGGCTGCTCAAGAGGCCCTCCGCGCATTTCTTTCCCACTTACTCTGCTTCTTGGGCAGATGCCGACATTTAAACCTTGAAAGGGATTCCCTCTTCTGTGAAGAGAGACCAGGTGACTTTGCTGCTGCTTCTGTAGCTTTTTCTTAAACATGTCAGCAAGTTGTTTTTTTCTTAAATGAGGGAATTGAACATAAAAGAAATAGCATGCTCTTCTTCTGGAACTATTGAAGGTTACGGTTGACCAGGGCTCCCCAAGACCTGTGGACTTCAACTCCCAGGATTCTCCAGCCAGCTCTGGAGACCTCTGCTGGGCTTTATGGGGGGAAAGGTTCACAACCACCACACTTTCGACACAAAATCCAGACTTTTTATACAAGACCATTCATGGTTAAACTTACTAGAATGAAACACGGATATTTTTTTTCCAAAGCAATTAAAAAAAATCATTTCAACACTAATACCATTGAGTTACTAAGGGGAGAAAAGAAGAAAATAAAACCAATATAAATAATGTCTTTTAAAAAAGTAACAAAACCCCACAAAATGAATCAGTAGTCATTCTTGTAGAGGGAAGAACATTTCCGGTGGGGGCCTCCAGTTATAAAATTCTTCAAGCAACCAGGGGAGGGTGGGGAGGGGGCGTTCGAAGCCGGGTCTCCCCCCTCCCGGCCTCCAGTTTTAAAATTCCAGTCCTTTATTTCAGAAAACGGGGGGGGGGGGGGAGATGTAGTGTTGTGGTGAGGAGGAGTGTGGAAGCAGGAGGAGGGTTATCACCCCACCAATCCCCCCTCCCTGGCTTGGCAGCTTCAACTGAGGTGTTAAGCCTCTTCCTCCCCCCAGCAGGGAAGGTGAGGCCATCCTGGCATCCTTGAGAATCTGCAGATCAGAAAAGGATTCCTGAAGAAAAGGCAGCAACCGGGCGGAAAGGGAGCCACTGGCCTGGGAGAGGCGGGCCCCCTCTGGACCCCTGGCAGGGGGAGGAAACCGGGAGAGGAAAGGGGTGGGGAGGCTGGTTGAGGCTGAGCCCCCCCCCCCAGAATGAAACCTGCCCCCTGGGGATGTGGGGGGGGGTTGAGATAATGCATCTGGGTTGCCTTTAAGTCAGGAAGGCTAGCACCAAAGGCCCATTGCACACCCACTCCCGGGTGGGTGGGTGGGCCTGATCAGAGCCCCCCTGCCAGAAGAGCGGGGCTGGGAGCGGGCCAGAGGATGGAGGGGGGAGAGGAAGAGACCCCGGAGGAAGTCAGCCAAGGCCGCTGGCGAGGCAGGAGGCAGGCAGGGAGGGGCTGGCTGGGCAGCCCACCCAGAGGGCCCAGAGGAGCCTTTCGACCCGTGCCAGCTGGCTCCAGAGGTGCACTGGGGGGCAGAAGAAGTGGAACACACACACACACCCCACACCCGCTGGCAACTGGCAATCTCTTGGGGGGGGGGAGGAAGCATGCAGCGAGCTGAACCCACTTTGTAGAAAGACGGCAAGAC